AACAAAAGGAGGAAAAGTCAAGAAAGGATGAGGGGGGGAGGAGACGAGAGGGGTTGAAGAGATGGAGAGGATCAGAATGAACAAGAATATATTATTTTGGGATAACAGGTGGGCTCCAACATTTTTATATCTGATAAAGTATGCATGCATTAGTGTGTGGTTCATGATGGGAGGTCCTTGACTTTGAAGAACAGCAATAGAAATGCTATTCAATACTTGATTAAGCTGTCAATGCTTAGTTCATCAATTACGATGTAAGTACAGTTTTAGAATATATTTAAACTGGATTGACATAGAGATGAATTAACATACAAGTGAATTTTCAGCCATCCTAATGTCTTGTCTCTTAGCTTGATAGAAAATTGGTAGGGACTGGAGAGACGGCTCAGCACTTAAGAACACAGGCTGCGTTTCCAGAGAGCCCAGATTAAGTACCCAGCACCCACTACTCACAAGTATCTGTAACTCCAATTCCTGGGAATCTGATACCTTCATACAACACACATGTAGGCAAAGCACCAAATGCACATAAAATAAAAATAAAACATTAAAAACTTAAAAAAGAAATGTGGGCAATTAGAGAGGTGAGGAGAGATTTGGCAAAGAAATTCGATTTTAATGAGGGGGGAGTGCATAGCACTGCTGGCCTGGGTGGGTCCAGAGACAGGGCTTCTCTGGGAACTGAGCACAAGCACCTGGGATAGCTAGGATGGGAATGCAAGGATGAGAAGGTGGACCTCTTTTCCACGTATATGTCATTAACTGGTGTGAAAAAAACACTCTTAATTTTAGGTAGGGCCATTCTCTTTCCTCTCTCTCTCTCTCTCTCTCTCTCTCTCTCTCACACACACACACACACACACACACACACACACACACACACACAGAGGCACGCATGCAAGCACACTTTTCATGACTGTAAAAAACCCAGAGGGTAACCTCATGCATGAATTCTTTGCTCTCTAGGATTATGGATGTGATATGAGCAGCTCCCCTAAGCTTCTGCTGCTGTGACAACCCTGTTATGATAACTGTAACCTGGAGCTGTGAGCATAGGTAAACTAAGTGGCTTCTGTCAGGGTGTTTTATTATAGCAATGGGGGGACAGGAGCCAAGACACATCTAATTGGTTTTTTCCTTGGTTTAAGTTGGCTGTCCCACTCAATTCTTCCTGAAAGACTTTTCAGGTGTCTGATGTAACTAAGAGATTTAGGACTGGGGTGTAGCTCAGGAGTAGAGGGCTTACGAGGGACTAATGTAAACAGAAGGCATTGCTTGAAGCTGCACTTTGCTGGCGTGGTGATGTTTGAGGTAAACTGGAGAAACTAGAGTGCTTTGATGATCTGTGACTTCACATTTGTAAACCATCAAGTTTATTTTCAGTCGGAAAGAATTCTGTATGAGTTCAAGACCAAACCACCATCAATGATGACACCAAAAACAGTTTTGTGATTAGGAGTGTTAAGTTGTCTACTAAATATGATTAAAAGTCATCTTGTGGAATTGGTCTCCACGGTGCCATTTTATGATCCTTCATGAGAAGAGACACTTTTCAGAACTGGCATTAATGTGCCTTCTCTTTTGAGCCTTTTGTAAGACATGCTGGGGAAAGGGAAAAAGAAAAACATGATAAGACATTTATCAGAAAGACCTATGGTTTGAAATTTTTTTTTGAAAATAGTGTATTTAGGGAACTACACAAATGTGATCAATGTGTTTTTACATGCAATAAAGGCAAATCCCAGTAGCAATAATGATAGCAGTAGTTGAAATTGAGGGCTGAATACCTGTAAAGACCAACAAAGTATTGTTCTGTCCTATCTTGTGGATAAGTCAAGAAATCACAAATTCTACGTAATGTGCTGGTGTAAATAAGGAGAGTGTAATATAGCTGGATATGATGACATATCTCAGCACAAGATGTAGGAAGACATTTAGTAGACACAGGACAATAAGGCTTAGGAGGGTTAATATAAACAAGAAAAAATATGGAGCTGGAAAGATAACTCAGAGGGCAAGAGTATATACTGTCTGCAATAACTCCAGCTCCTGTGGATCTGATGGCTCCGGCTCCTTGAACACCTGAAGTCGTGTGCACATACATCCCCAAGGCCACACACACCTATAGTTAAAAACTAAAATAAATCTTTATTTAAAAGATAATATAATAAAAAGCATATTCACTAACTCAAATGGGCAGTCAGCTTGGCTTAAAGAACTCCTAAATAAAAACTGCATTTGTCTTGCTTAACATTTCTATGCTATACACCTTCCAAATCTCCACCAGGAGTCACCAGGCTTCCCTTCTCAACACCTGTCCAATCCCTGCAGCCATCCACTGCAGAGACAGCATGGTTCCCGGTATCTTCCATCTTTGAGTCAAATTGTCTGCAGATACTTGTCATGCTGGCTGCGTGCATATGATATTACCACTATTTGAAGCATAAGTAGAATAAACACAAAACTATGGTAATAATGAGATGTGGTGCTTTGAATAAGAATGGCCCTCATAAGCTTATATATGTGGACACTTAGTCACCAGCAAGCAGCACTACTTGAGAAGGATTAGGAGATGTAGCCTTGTTGGGAGTAGGTGTGACCTTGTTAGAGGAAGTGTGTGATTGGAGATGAGCTTTGAGGTTTTAAAAGCCCATGCCTGACCCTGATCTCACTCTGTTTGCCTCAGTTACTTCTCTCAAGCCATGTCTGCCTGCATGCCACCATGGCTCCCTCCGTGATGATAATGGACTAACCTCTGAAACTGTACACAAGTCCCCAGTAAAATGCTTTCTTTTATAAGACGAGTTGTCTTGGTCATGGTGTCTCTTCACAGTCATAGAACAGTGACTAAGATGTCAGGGTGTTCTGTGTTGGGGGAGTCAGTTGAAGAAACAAAAGTAACTCCAAGATGAATTTTTACGCCTGTGTGGCAGCAGGAAGTTCCAGCCTTTGATGGACTGAACCTTGAATATCTGGACAAAGGCATATTTATTGATTTGTTATACAAACTTGTTTTGGGGGTAAAGTATTTCCTTATACCAAGGTCCCTAGTCTATATGTCTATATGTCTATATGTCTCTCTAAAGGGAAATGTCACATGCTCCTGCTCCTTTCATCCTTATAGTGTACCATTTCAGTACACAATAACCCAAGAGCTCCAGGTATGCCAGAAGTGTCTTGAGACCATGCAAAGGTCTCTTGAGGTCATGCAAAGGCTTTAACGCCCCCTCGGAAAAAAACAATTCTACAAATCACGGAAAATGTTTTCTACAATGATCAAGTCCAAGAGCTCCAGGTATGCCAGAAGTGTCTTGAGACCATGCAAAGCTCTCTTGAGGTCATGCAAAGGCTTTAACGCCCCCTCAGAAAAAAACAATTCTACAAATCACGGAAAATGTTTTCTACAATGATCAAGGTCATTTTACTTCTAAGAAACAACTATTCACTCTAATGATTTCCCTTAGATACAGTGACTCTGCTAGATTCCTACAACACTAAGACATAAAGGGGATTAAGCTCCCCTCTACCACAGCATCATAATTCTCTGCCTTGATTGGACAGAATTAATTGGATATGTGGTGCTCACCAACACTTTTTAAGTTCACTTCTATCTCTCTTTCTATCAAAAAGGAAAGGATGACACAGCAGCATTCAGCACTCTGTGGGCACTTAGCTCACAACTGGAGAGTATGTATTTGATTTCAGGTAGAATGGGTTGCCATGGCTGTGCACAAAATAAGGACCTTAGCCTACCCCTGGTGCCCACATTATGACAGATGGCCACAGGAAAGCAGTTGGAAGATGTGGTGTAATCAACTTTGTGAAATCGGATCCAGAACTCAATATAGACATCAATACAACACATTTTTAATAAATGAATCTATTTGTAGTATGAATTATTTCTTTATATTTTCATTATTAGTTTTTGTGTCAGTGTGATTCTTTTCTAAAAATGGTCTCATTTCAATTTTTTTCCAGATTGTATTTTGAATCTGGAACCAAATTAGTTCTACTATTCTTATTGCTTGATATGAATTTTAAGCCCGTTTAAAAATATTTATTTAGTTAGTTATTAGATGGAGCCTCTCTATGTATCCTAGGTTAGTCTCAAACTCAGTCTTTCCACCTCAGCCTCCTGAACGCTAGGGAAGTCTATCATGCCTCACCAGGCAGGAGATCTTTCAGCACCTTCTGGGGTCTGTGGAATTCCGAGTAAAAGGTAGTCAAATCATATTCATTTATGCATTTGACACTGGGAAGACACAAATAAAATGAAAAGAATGAATTTGTTGGTTCTCTGGGAGTTGAATTCCGGGTCCTAAACTGCCTAGAACTAGTTTAGCCTCCATATTCCGAAAGGACTAAGACCCTTCTCTGCTCCTCCCCTTCCCCACACTCACACTGCACAGTTCCATCCCTGAGCCTTTTGTCATAGGAGGAAAGCAGTGCTCAGCATCTGGGCTTGGAACCGAGCCTTCGGCTGCTCAACTTGTTCATCCCACTTGGTGAATGGCTCTACTGTTTGGCAGGCAATGGAGCCATACAGGGAGATCATATTCCAGGACTGGGGTTTTCTTTTGCTCTCTTTTAGTCAAACTTAATTATGAGCAGAGGTGGGCAGTCAAAACAGCTGCTGCTGCTATTTCACCTTAACTGATTCTCTGCGCTACCTACTCTTACCTCCCTTTGCTTAGGTTAGGGTAGCGAGCCAGTGCAACTTCAAAACCTTAGCACGCAGCCCTCCTTCCAAAGTCTGTGCAAACTGTCACTCTCACTGCATCCTGGGAAATGTAGTTTAATTAATTCAGAAGATGGGCAATCAAGTTAGGAAGGCTGGAAAAATCCCCCCTTCCCCCCACACACTGACTCCGCCTTCTCTATTGGCTCCTCCCAGGTTGCTTAGGAGACACGAGACGCAGAATCTTGGTCCTTGTTACGCAGAGCTGTGGACTGGTGCTGAGGGAAGTCCAACCCAGTCTGTTCTCAACTCAAGCGCAGGCATGGGGACTTTTTCTAGCGCGTGTCAGGACTGTTTCGGCAGGAAAGAGCAGTGGTATGAGATTGGACCCACGGACTTGCTGGAGCGCAAGGGCTCCCTAACGCTCCGCTCTCATGACAAGAAATACTCGAAGCCAGTGTTGGTGTATTCCTGGTGAGCCAAACACTCGCCGCCATTCATGGGTTCTAGCTAGGGAGGGAGGAGAGGAGAAGGATCTGGCAGGAGGCAGGAAAAGTAACAGTAATAGGAAACAGTGGTGGAGAAGAGAAATTGGGAAGAGGAGAAAATCAAAGAAAAGGATTGATTGTGAAGAGAAAAGTGTCACAGAGAAGAGGGGAAACAGACCTTCCACAGAGCAGTGACCATATCAAAGTAGGCTAGAACTCTACAGGACTGCTCTCAGCACACCTGGACCTGCCCCAGCCAGTGCTCTGGCGAGGGAGTTTAGTTGTCTACACAAGGCAAAGGAGTGGGAATCATTTAACAGGTTTGAAAATCGCCCCCTTGACACAATGCTTACTTGTAAACAGAAGTCCTGTTAGAAAGCCAGGCCCACTGGCAAGAGGCAAAGGTCCTTGTACAGTGCCAGCACTGCCAGTGCTTGGGGAGGGGGACACAATTGAGAGCAAGACCCTCAGCATCCTTCAGACTATTATTCATGAAGACCCTTAAAGCCACAGGTAGCAAAGTTTAGTCTCTCCTTGCATAAGGCCAGTGCAGTTTGTTTGGTGTAGATGCTGCTTATTTTTTTTAATTACTTGGTCACACTTAAAATTCACATAAAAATCCAGGGTTGTGTGTTCTCTTGGAAAATTGTAAGGTCTGGAGGACTTCCTTCTAAATTCATTGTTTTCTGATGATGGAGCTCTCAAGACTCCAGGAAGCATTTGGCCTTCTTCCTAGCTTTGGAAATTATGCCTAGAATTCTCTCTCTCTCTCTCTCTCTCTCTCTCTCTCTCTCTCTCTCTCTCTCTCTCAAGTGTCCAATAGCTACAGTGTCTCTGGCAAAAAGTGGCTCAGTTTTTGGGGGTGGGGTGGGAATTTAAATGTAATTGACTCGCACAAGGGTGTGGCATTATTAGGAAGTATGGCTTTGTTGGAGTAGGTATGGTCTTGTTGGAGGAAGTGTATTACTTTGGGGGAAGGCTTTGGGTTTCTTTTGCTTAAGATTCACTCAGTGTGACACTGAGTTAACTTCCTGTTGCCTGCAAGATACAATACTTTCAGCGATCTCTTCAGCCCATGTCTCCCTGCACATCACCATGTCCCACAATGATGATAATCAACTAAACCTTTGAACTATAAGCCAGACATCCCAAATATATGTTTTCCTCTATAAGAGTTGTTACGGTCATTGCTTCCTTTCACAGCAATTGAACCCTAACTAAGATGGGGGCAGGTGGTCAAGTTTCTTACAATAATTATTCTGAGAATATTTGTAAAATATGGGTGAAGTGAGAAGACAGAAATGGAAGTCACAAATTTTGTCTACTTGATGCTTTTGCCTTTGATGAGAGATGAATGATTTCGACTTTGGGTGGGTATGGTTGGACGCAGCCACTCCTGCATTGTTTGTGCCATTTCTGTTCTGAAATTAAATTCAACTTAGCAAGTATTTATGTGTCAGCTGGGCGTTGGTGGTGCAGGTCTTTAATCCCAGCACTTGGGAGGCAGAGGCAGGCAGAGAATTAAATTCAACTTAGCAAGTATTTATGTGTCAGCCGGGCGTTGGTGGTGCAGGCCTTTAATCCCAGCACTTGGGAGGCAG